TCTATCTATCTATCTATCTATCTATCTATCTATCTATCTATCTATCTTTCTATCTATCTATATCAGATAGAAAAGATATCAACACAACATTTGAGCAGCTAGCCTTCAGAGCATTTGGCAGGATTTATATCCTAACAAGTTTTCTGTCACATTTACAAGCAGACAGTGACACACTTGTGCATTGTAGAATGTTTTATGTGCCTGCTTTTCATAGATTGTTTAGGCTCCAGCATTTTATGGTGTCATTCACCTATACAAGTGGTGCCTGCAGTATGTTTAGTGCCTGGTGATGTTTGTATCTGACAGTAAACTCCGGAAGCAGAACGTCACAGTGAACTTGTGGGTGGTGAACGAGCGCTGGCTGTTCTCTCTTCTGTGGTGCGCAGGGGCAGGCTCGGTCACCACCAACGCCTGCCACCTCCTGACGGACATGAAGACGCCCGACTTGTTGATGGTGAGCAACACAGGGACATTTTGTTTTGGATGCGACTGTTCTCCTTTTGGGTGGCGCCCTCTAATCCTGAGGCTCACTGATGTTTGTGTGTTTCAGACACCTTCTAATTACAAAATAATCTGGATTTTGCTGGATGTTTCCTCCGTTCTTTTTATGATTGTACTGTACATCTTTCAGAGGTAAGCCGAGCACAACCTTTGCTGTTATAAATGTTTGTATTTTGCTTCAAAATGCTTCAAACAGCAAAAAACGTTTGTCTTTCTGTGTTTCTGCCAGGAAAACACACTGCTCCTGTCCCAGAGGAGGTACTATATCTCAGCACATCAACATGATTATTAATGCAGTGATCACTAATATCTGTCAGCTTTAAAGACTTTGTCACATTAGAATCATTACACTTCTACAGACTACAATCTTATTTGTTTTTTCAAATAATGAAAAGGTAATTTCCAAAAAATACACACAGTGTTTAATAACTGTCCCGTAACAAATCACATCAGATAACATTAATATTTTGTTGTTCTTCACATAGTGTTTATAATATGTTACTAACCCCTTATGTCTTAAGTTTATAGTAGTAAATTACGCACATCTAATCACCATTTATACATTTTCTTTGACAGGGAGGAAGAATACCTCAGTCCAGGAGAAAGAGAATCATCCTTTCTTACCCAAAGTGTAGTACAACAGATGTGAGCAGCAGATGTTTCACCCCCAAAGCTGTCCTACATCCTCTCCCGTCCACCACAACAGATTGTAGCTGTATCAGGAAGAAGTGTCACTACAGTTTTTATGAAAGCATCGTAATTAAAATGCCATGAGATTATAAAATGTAAAGCAAATCTCACCAAGATGCCGCTGGATGGCAGCTTGTTACATGGGATTGCTGAAGTTGTGTGTTATTGTTCATCTCTTTCTACTAAAAATACAGTGCCTTTGACTTTCTGACTATGAAACACATACTTGTCAGTGTTCACTTCTCTTCGTACTTTCTTTGTTCAGTTTTTAAAGAGCCTTTTTTCATGATTGCAGAAACAACACATTTGTATATATGTAAAACAAAACTTCTTTTTTTAACTTCCTGTGTCTTGATGTTGTTTTCTACAGCAGTTTACATTCCTACATTGGGATTAGATTAGATTATTAGAAAACCTGTGTTAGTTTTACATGAGAGTGGTTCCTCTTAAAATAAAATTTTCAAAATCTATCACAAACACCAAGCTTTGCATTTTGCTTTCTTGTTATCTGTTTGAACTCCAGAGCAAGATTTTTTTGGTGTTGCCACATTCATGTGCTTCATGTTTTTTCTGCAAACTCTGTGAAAAGATACTAAATGTATTTTTTTAATCTATTTGTGTTCCACCCTCAACCATCAGCTGAAGGTCTAGGGGCTCTTAGGAGGTACCATCAAGTGTGCCACTGGATTCCTGCTCCATCTGTATGACTGCAGCCAGTCTCCTTGTATTTTGTCTATCTTTGATATATAATACCAATACTGTTATACCAGTTTTGTAATACTGGATTCATCCCATGTCACATGTTCTCTTACACATTCAATCGGATGTGATTGAAATCAACATTTTTACCCATTCATCTACACTTGATAGATAAGACGTATATGATGATAATTTACTCTTACAATAATTTGCAAATGTGTAAAAATGCCATCAGAGAGAAGTGCTACAAAGTTGTTTGTGCTTATTTTTATGGTGTGACATCAACTCTATAATTTAGAGAAACCAGAAAATAGTTTCTCTTACTTATATGGTCTAGATAATAAAAGACAAACAGACTCATCATTGATAATTTTTAAAAGAACTCAAAATCCAAGCAGTACGATTCCCCTTCACGAACACCTTACGCCTACATTACCCACAATACAACTCGCTCCCCAACAGTTGAGTTGAGATTTGGGTGTGTTACGCTAGTAGCTGCCATGGTAGCGGTTTATGTAGCCTCGAACCGCTAGCCTTAGCCTCTAACAGGGATGAGGAGCCGGCTCAATAGCTCCGGTAAGCAAACTTATCCAAACTACATATGCATTTTTATTATGATTTTAAACTTGTATCTTTCAGTCCGAGTCGAATTTGAACCACTTCACCTAGCCAACCAGTTTACGTTTTCACTAAAATAGCTAACCATCCTTTTCTGTAAAGTCGATGGAGTTCTCCTTTAAAATTGAGTTTTTGTAGCACTACTTCATCCCACCACAAGATGGCGCCCGCTACATAACAATGCACAGCTCGACCACTTCTTGCCGATAAGATATTAAAGTAACTCTAACTTATACTAACAGGTTTTTAACTATTTTATTATTGCTCAATATGTATAAACTGTATATAAGAGTTTTTTTCTTACCAAGTTACAATATCGTCATCGAGGGTCCTCTCCACGAAGGCGAGGCATATGTGAGGGGAGGAGGAACGTGTCAGGCTCCGGGGCCGTATTAGCCCAAACTTCTGGAAAGTTTAACTGGAGTAAACAGTTTAGCCTTGTCACATCTCAACTTCACGGTGTGGGCGTGGTTGTGGCTTATTCCAGCTTTAGCAGCAATTCAAACCAACTGGGATTTTCCGGCAAATTGATTTATTTTCTCCTTGCACACAGAAGAATTATCTTTTAGATGACTTTTCGAGTCGAAAACACCATGGTGCATAAATACGGTAAGCGCGATCCCGTCTCCGTTTCCCTCCCTGGAGGTTTTTAGGTTAATGGCAGAGCTTTACTCCATCAAAGGTATTGCTCGGGTTTTTGTCGCTGCCCTAACCTCAACTTTAATCCCTGGAGAAACCCGATTTGTTTTCCCTTTTCCCTCAGGGAATAATAATAATAAAAAAAAGTTAACAGGAATTTCTGCTTCTGGGCTGCAGATGATTATGACTGTTTCTGCCTCATTGCTCAGGATCAGGTAGGACACTGTGAAGTAGCAGATTTACCCTTCGTGATGTGCATCACCCGTGACGTGTTCCTCACCACCCACCGGGTTCAACAGCACACAGCAGTGCTGGTTTTTGTTGGGAAATAAACATGCAACTTATCTTTGAGTGTGTCTCATTTCCCCTGCATTACAGGTCACATTTGGACTATTATGTATTATGTGTTGGATGTTTCTAAAAGATGAAGCATTAACAGATTTTTTATGAGATGACATTGGGGGGAGTGATCTTCCATTTTGGCAGAAATGAAGGTTTTCCCAGTTTGATCCATTCTTAGCTTTGGATCTCTTACTCTGTTATAAACAACACAAGCATTTGCTCAAATGTTACTGTCAGGACGGCTAATTGAAAAACATCCTGAGATTAACTGATGCTTATTTTTGTATATTTTCTGGCCCTGAATTGAATGGCATTGAGGGGCACTCCAGATGTGGCAAACACTGCTTTGAATATGTAGAGATGTGTTTCTGCTGTTCTGAGCGTGTGTTAACTGTGTGAGGCAGACACAGAGAGGGCGGTGGGGCTGCTCAGACAATACCAGGCCAACCTGACCAGCCCGGAGGAGCAGGCCTTGAAGACCAGCGTGGGCAAAGTGTCGGCCATCTTGGGAAGCCAGCTGTTCCAAGCGCTTCTTGGTAAGAGAAACACAGTCAAACTGCTTGTTTTGGAGAGTCCTTTGAAACACTGCCCTTTGGCTGAGATTGCAGCAGACATTTCTCAGCCTGTACTTTCAAAATTATAGTCTGCAACCTGATCTGTTGGCTTTACCGCACGTTGTCACGGTGTTTATTTACTGTAGCGTATCCATCTCCATTTGCTCTGTTGTGTGACTAGACTAGGTCAGGTTGTATTAATTTGTATGGACCCTAACTCAGTCTAAATGTTTCCCAATTAACTCTTATGAAAGAGGCCTTTCAGGACTCTTCACAAAGGTTTGCTGTATGTCCTCCCCCTCTGTAGCATTCTCAGATCGTAATGAAATCCCATTAAAGCCGCACTCAACGCAGCCTATATATAAGCTGAACTGTTTGAAACCCAGACCGTTTCCTTACAATTTTCCCCCTGGCTTTAACTAAATGGACTCTTTTGTACCATGTGCCTCACAAACTTGTGTCAACATGACGCAGGTCATTTATCAGAAAATTCGATTAACCAGTGAGTAATTGTAATTTCCCGATAACGCTGATCCTTATGTGTGCTTGGTTCCTCGTCTGAAGGGCGGTTGTTATCCACCCACACCCCCATTACAGGTTTGGTATTTTGTAAAAAAAAATAAAAAAAGATCTTTGGGGATCAATTTGAACCTTTCTGACGTTCAGAGCTCATAAGACGCATTAGTTCAGTTAAACTGATACTCAGTGGTAATGATGCTCGCTCTTGACTCAGCCATCGCCTCTGCTGACCCACTGCTGCCTCTTTGCTGAGGATCTGAGAAGGAAGGCCTCCAGGCTCTGACTCCAGTGAAAATAAACACAGCATGGATATTTTAATTGCTGATGCAAATGAAAGGAAGTTTAACGTATAGTTTACTGTGTGAGTTGGATGTGAGGTAGAGGCATAAAGAGATAACTTACCTTTATTTTCGCTCCTTTTTTCAACAATATTGTGGAGTTCAAGACTAGATAGTCCCGCTTCTCGCTTCATTAAATGAAGGCTCTCGTTGACTAAGGTGTACACAGCTGGTGTGACCTTTAATGAATGGTTTAGATGGTCCTTATCAACATGAAAAATTTAGAAATTTTCCTGTTGAGATGATCATCTTCATCACATAAGACAGACGGTAGGAGGTGAATGATAATGCCATTCAAAAACATTATTATCAGGTTTTCGTTTTGCCTGCTGGGCGTGATGTTAATTGCACAGTCTGATGCACTGATTGCAAGATGCCCAATGTGCATTTCAGGAAAACTTAATATCTCTGTGATTTTTCTGCAGTAACTTCTACGGATGTGTATCAAATTTACCATGAACCTAAACTTAAATTTTCAGAGTTTATCCATCCAACTGTCTCTAGGGGTTTTCATTTATCATACATTGTAGCCATTTAGTTGACGTGGCACATTTTTTGGTGCTTTCAAGTCGCAACAGGCTCTCTCTGGACTATAATTGAGACATTTTTTATGATAGAGAACATTTAGCAACATACAAAGATGTTGTCAGCTAACCTTTCCCACCATTTCAGAATTTTTTCCTCCCCTATGAGTGAAGTTTTGTTTTCAGGTTGATTTAGAAAATAGTCTGGCTATAGCTTCGCTTTCTTCAGGGACTTCATTTTTCTCAGTCTCTGGGAGGGCAATGCCAGTGATGCCCGATCTTCTTCTGACCACTTCACAGAGTATTTAGCAGCCCTAACGTAGATGTAAGCGTTTTTAGGAGACGCACATCATTTGGGCAATTTTGATCCAGAGACCATTCACATCAAGTCTCAGATTTATAGAAATCAGGGAGGATTAACTTTCCAAATATGGATTCCAAACATTCCTCAAAAAGAATCTTCAATCCGAGCCAAGCCTGAGGCGGGCAGGAAAATAAATTGCTCCTCCACTTCTGTCCCAGCTCTCTGGATCATCCATGCAGTATGTGAGGGCAGCAGGAGAGAAGGCCTGTGGTTGGTGTGTCTCAGGTGTAGGGCCGAAGAGGCTTTGCCCCTTATTCAACATGTGGTTCTCATTGGAAAAGGCAGAGTGGAGCAGCCGGTTCCCAGCTCTAATAGGAACACAGGGCAGTATAAACATTAGTCATCCTCTTATCCACTCCTGTTGTGTTTGGCATCACATGCTCAGGGCCATGGTTCTAGTTGGACCTTTTTGTATTGTGTTTTCTCACAGTGGTGGGGGCTTTAAAGTGAGGAGCCCTCTGAGCAGTGTAGATTATGCTCAGATGAGAGTTAACAAAACTGAGAGTTTTGGACTAAAAGCCACTTTTTTCTCTCAATCTGATGAACGTTTAGAACGTTCTGCCAACATTACAGTGAAATATTTCTCATTTAGAGATCTCTTTGATTCTCTGTGGGAAGTAAAGAGGTGCCAGATACAGTGGGGGAAGGTTTGGCACTGGCAACATGATTGGATGTCCGCATGGTTGCACAGTCACAGACAAAGGTTTCCGTAACTATGCATCCTTTTGTTTCTAACCCACGAGCACGCAGTGGGGAGCATGACAGGGGGGCTGCTGACCAGGAGCCGGGGCAGAAACACATAGAAAAACAGAGGGCCCCAAATGCCCTGGAAGTGCTGTATCAAGGGGGGTGAATTGTTTGCCTGTCTCGAAATTGTGACCCAGTTTGCTGTCAGTGAGTTGTTGCGGTGTGGGTTGCTCATCATCATGTAAAAATCCAGAGGGACATTCTTTTTTTATTTCTTCTCTGTGTGATTCACCCAGGCAGGAAACGCTGAGATGACTTCAGTCCAGCTGAATAGGTCCATGACAAAGAGAAGAGGTTTGGGAGAAGTCACAGCAGAACCCCCCTCCCAAATGGATCATAATGCTCTCAGCAGGCTCATACAAAATAGTGTTGATGTAAAAAGAAAAAGAAAAAGCTACGTGGAATAAGTTCTGTGACAGTGGCTTCTTACTTGAATTGTGTATTTTGTCTCGCAGCCAGGAATTCATGTGGTCTTTGAGGGCTGGAACATTTTTGAGACTTTTTGGCAGGTCACAGATGTAGAGGAAAAGAAAAAAAGGAAAGGAAGAAAACTCTCTGTACTCTATGTGACTGTGAATCCTAATATCAGAACACGCCAAGACCCGATTTAGCACCTTTGTCAGGTTTGCCACTTCTGCCGGGAACAGATGAACAAAGTAATTGGAGGTGTTGTTGAAAGTCAGGTGTCCAAGATGCAGCTGAATAGTGAGTTCTGCTAAAGTTAACGGATGCCGTTTTTGTAACACAGAACATTAGGTCAAATGACTAGACGTACAACTTTGTGCGGAAGCTTTCTCACGGAAAACTAAAACGATGGTGCTTTCGTGAGCTATGTCACATTTTTCCTTCATCACTTGAATTTATATATACAAATTAATTCAAGTGAAGGCCTCACATCTAAAGAGCTTGTGTATTTGCGCAAGACTGTACTTGAAAGTTAGGACAGTCCCATTTGATTGCCCTGTGGGTCAGCAGGAGGTTTCCATCCACTAATCAGTGCGAGCCTGTGCTAGCATTACCCCCACTTTTCTTTCCGACAGAGCATCTGCAGTACTTGTTGGAGTTGAGGCTCTAAAATGGCCAAATCACCATTTCACAGCATCTGAGCCCGGCATTATTAGCTTCTTTATTGACTCCAGCTAAACAATGGCCCAGGATGGAATTTTGCAAAGCTAAGCGCTTTAAATACCAAATTTACTCCTCCTTGTTTACCTTCACCTCAGTGTGAGAATCTGCTGGGTAGTGTGGTCTTCAGCTCCCACACAGATTGCTGTTTGAACAGATACAAATTCCAAAACATCTCTAAGTGATTTCGAACATCAACATTTCCAGAGCGGTGGAACCCCGGTCCTGATCAGAACACTAGCTGCTCTCCTTTTGGCTGCTCCTTTGTAAGGGATGTGTAAAGACAGTGTCTTTGCTGCAAACCAGGCTCTGCATGCTGCCTGTTCGTTGTGTAACTTAAATGGCAATGTGTTAAAAGCAGGAAGGCCCAGACTGCGTGTGTGTTTGTTAGCATCTGTACGCAGATAAGAGTTTGTCTAAGCGAGGCTGCTCTTTAGTCAGCTGGTCAACAAATTGCTCTGCCCACACATGGCTTCACTCCTCCATATTCAGACACAGAGTGAGTCACATGCTCCATTCTTACACTTTTGTTCTCACTGTGTCTTGTCGGGACGTTCTAACTCTCATCTCTCTGGGTTAGACACACAGACTTCTGCTCCAGTGGTCCTTTAAAAGAAAGTCTAGGCGTTCCTGACGTGTCCAAAAAAAAGGAAAAAAAAGCCAAATGCCTCCCTAAAATGTATTCTGTGCAAAATCTTGACCCGTTAATGAACTGTGGGAAAGTTGGTGAACTGTTCGGCCACCTCCTTATGTCAACGCCACAGTCACAAGGGGCCACGTTTGACATCAGCACAACTGTCACCGAGCATTCCCATCAAACGGCCGCCACTCAATAGGTGACCACAGAATACGAGCCAGGAGAAGTTGAGAAGAGGAGGGTGGGCAGAGATGAAGAATCCTTTAAAATAAATTATTAAGAACAGACTTGACATGGTTTTTAAGGAATATTTCTCTTTCACTCCTAACTTTGGAAGAAAAACACGAGTGAAGTTAGAGAAAATTCAGACAGCATTTCCCAGAAGGTCATCAACCTCTGATCCTCCAGCGACGGGCGTGTCCAAATGTACTCTGTGCTGAATGGCACTTGTTATGATCCAGACTATTCATGGATCAATGGGAGATGAACCACAACTCTTCCAGCTTGTGACGCCTGTTTGCTAAAGGTTGCGACAGATAGCATGCAAGAAATCCTTTGAGATTGAAGCTTTTTTTATTTTTTTAGCACGGAGCGAAGGTGAGAACAGGGTCTCTGCCTGCCGCACGGTGCTGAACACCAGAGAGGGCTGCCCATCACACTCAGGCTCCAACAAAAGATATACCGCTCATAGATTTGGACTATAGAAAATGGGCTATCTTTATGCATCACTATTAAATGTGGCAATTTAAAAACATATTTAAGATTACCAACCTTTTGGCCCTTTAAAATGGTGGTCTTTAGGGCTCGTTTGAACCTGGTTTTACTACCGATACTGATTTCTGGGCTGGTTCCTGAAACCAAATCTTTTTTCAAACCACTAATATGTTTAAATGGTAAAGTAGATTCATCCCATGTTGTTTCTGCTGTCATTTTACAGGTGATATTCTACCTCTGTAGCCTGAGACATGCATTCTAGTAGGGATTGTGTGCACATCAATTCTTAATAAGGGGACACACACTTTGTTTAAACACACTTTAACTCCTTCATATTTTACTCATGCTAATAACTGATCATCTGACTATTTTATGAGTTGGAAATGGACACAACTGAGAAAAAGTCTTCACGTTATGTCTGTTCCCCACCTTTGGAGAAACATCTAATTACTGCTTTGTGTTGTCTCACACGCAGATATTCAGGAGTGTTACGAGGTGACCTTGCAGCTGAACGCCGAGCAAACTGTTGTGAAAGAAGACAACAAGCAGGATGCGTGGGAGGTAATGTTCCTGCTTCACATTGGAGTTTGGAGAAAACCTCTTTCATGTTTGCGTTGCACTGGATGCTGCTAATGCTGCTGTTAGCCAGCACAAGATGTCACTACCTGTGTCCTTGGTGTTTTGCCATGGAAGGCTTGTTACCATGACACATGGCAGCTATGACTTCAAGCAGGTGGGGGAGTGTCAAACAGAGACAGTCAGAGGAAGTCACACATGTCTGGATGAAGACGAGGAAATTAGATTCAAAGAGCTCTGATTAACGCTTGCTCATCAGTGGGCCGCTCTCATGAAGTGAGCCGCTTCGTTTATTGTAAATAGTGTTCAGAGTCACATTGGTGTTCGGAATAATCTCGACATAGAAAATACTCATCCTTATGGGGGGGAAAAATATATTATTGGGTTCAATTTCGATGTTCAAGTGGAATTATAGAGCTCAATCTGCATTTTAAAGTAAAAAGAGAGTGAAAATATATCAATAAATCCATATGCTGTTGTGAGATAAGGAGGTTTTACTGAGGCTCTGTCGCTAAGCCCTTTGATAAGTTTTAGACTCTCACTTCATATTATTTGTATGCTTTAATGTTGCTTTATAACTGTGCCTGAACCAGACCAAAACGTTAATGAAATTGATTATTGGCTGACGTCTGCAGCCTATTAACTGATTGGTCTGGGGGTTCTTAATATTTTGAAGAGAATTTGGAACATTTCTGTGGGACGTGTTCATCTGGATATTTGATCACATGACTCCATTCAGCACATGGCAGAACAGATGCAAAGCATGAATTCCTTTTACGTACACCAATGTTTAAATTTAATTTTGAAGGGGAAAAAAGACATTTAATAAAGAACAATGGTCTTTATTCTTGCTTTTCTTCTTTTAGAGGTTTAGATTCCACCACTTACTGATCAGACGAATAGAAATAAATGATTCTGAATGATACTTAATAACTGACGTTCCTTTTAAAAATCAGCAGGAATCAGCAGGCTGAATTATCTTAATCTTCTGTTCTTGTTTGGTGTCCGGAGGAATTTAAGTGTTTGTCCAATGTGTATTTGAAATTCTCATGAGTAATCTCACAAAGTGTTCACACCTTTTTATGAAAACAGAAGCCTGGTAGGCAGACCCCGTCGCCAGAATATTCTGCTCTGGCTGGGTAGCTCTGAGGCCTGATCAGACTCTTTCTTAGATTTTTACACCAGACGAATTAAAAGCTGTAATTCCAGGAACACCTTTCATTGCTGAACATCACCTCTGCACTATCCGCCAAGTGAAATAAAGAAATCTTTCTGAATTCAGCTTAACTCTCAGAGGGGAAGTTAGAAGAATATCTCTAGTGTTTTCTCACAGGATTGTCAGTGTAGGTTAGACCTTAGTCAATAAATGTATTCTCCCTCCATGCAATTATAAGGAGATGAGGACAGCTGATTTATCTGGAGTCCACTAAAGGTCTGTTTTGCTGTAGAGTGGAAGAAGATTCCAAGTAGGAGAGATATATATATTTTTTAAGTATCCATATAGTTTGTTCATGTAGGTGATTTTCACAATTTCTGGTTGATATTCTGTCAATCATAGCTGCAATTTTTTCCCTTTCAAATCAAAAAGGATTCCTTTACAGTATTCATTTTCCATGTTTTTTTAAGTCATATTTTTCTGTGATAGGTAAAATAATTGAAAATAAACTTGTGATTTGCCTGGGATTGACTTCTTCACGATTCTCCTTGTGACATAAAGCTTGGCTTAATTACTTTATCTCAATGACCAGGTTTGTAAGGGATTATTGTCCTGTTCACATTATTCCAGTGTATTTGACTCAATTTAGCAGACTAATAAAACCAAATGAGTGCTTCTGCAGGAGCAGCACACATAAACTGATTTTAAATCTGTGGTCTGTTCTATACGGTGTGTTACAGTGTTACAAAGGCTGATGAGAAACATGTGATCAGCATGAGGGAGGGGAGGTCACTACTGTGTGCAGCCATACAGCATAATGAAAGCTGTTTATAAATTCAAGAATATATGACGATTCAGTATCATGTTCTTGTGTAGTAAATAATTCATTTTTCCCTTTCATTTAGTTTCATTGGACTTTGTAGAATAGTTAACATTCACAATCCCACTTTTAACAAAAGCAATTACCAGGTACTTTTTGCTCCCTCTTTGTATTTGTAGTTTCTTAGAATTAAATTTCTTCCAACTATTTCAGCTGGTAATGCTTTGCTGTTAATATCTGTAACACCATAGAAATGCAACTTTCTGATTGTTAGGTTTGAAGTACGCGTGGCTGATGACTATTGTGACGAGGCTCGAAGGGGTCAGATACTGATTTGAGAATTCTGTCCAAACAATTCCAAGTGTTGTTAAAACACCAAACTGTGGCATTGTCTACCTTTCTGTTCTGAAACAATGAGAGGACGTTTTTCATTTTTAAACAAGGAATCTGTCATCTACAGCTACTCCGGTCTTAAAAGTAGCTGCTAGTTAGGAATCATTGGGTTGGTTAAGACTAAACTGCTGTCTCTTGCAGGGCCATGTGTTCAGAATGTGTTGTTCCCCTGGTGCAGCATCTAAACCATAAATTATGAGTGTGGTTTGAACCGTATTCTGCCCTCCTAAGCGCCTCTCAGTGCTCCTCTGATCCGCCCTGTCAAGCTTCTAATTCAGTACTGTTTGGCTCCTGTTCTGTCCTCCATCATACACCTCTGGATCCCAGCTGTTTGCGGGTTCTGGATAGAGAGTGTCGGATGGAGGGATGCAGCAGCCTTATTGGGAAGTTTGTGAGAGAGAAAGAGAGCTTCCTAATGGACACCCAGTGAGGTGCTCATCAGTATTCCAGCCGTGCTGTCACCTGAGAGGAGGATGGCAGGGAAACTAAATGAGTCTGCAAATTCACTGATTTGGTGCAGAGTAGCAGGTGAGGTTGGAGGGTTGCTCCTGTTGGAAAAGAAATCAAAGAAGCGTAAGAGAGGAAGCTGTTTTTGATTTCACGCCTTTCGTGACAGAAATTGATTTCTTGATTTTTAGGCGAATTACAACTCTCTAGGATTTGACTTGATGAGTAACGGTCAGCAGATAAACTCGGACTTTCCATAAATCTCGACTTTTTTTTTTTCTCACAAGCTAATTTTGAAGATGTCTGAATGAGAGTGCAGATTCTGAGCTGCTCTGTTTCCCAGAGCTGGCTGCTGGGAGTGGCAGCCCTGGATCTGCTGCTGTCAGCTGACCTGCCTGTCACCTCGCTGTACGGGAATAGAGCTGTCAAAGCAAAACTAACCCAGATCTCACAGTTTATCTGAATCACCATTGCTCTATGATCACTGAAAATGTCGAGAAAAAACAGTTAACCCGCCGCATTTGTAACTTTGGTTACAGAAATATGCCATTTACAGTATTTCAGCCTGCATGCGCCCAGCTGGGATTGTTTTTATGAAAACACAGGTCTTTCCTACATGAGCACATGACATGCCCTCATTTGACTTTGGAGGTAAAGAGTGAACAGTATAGCACCATTTCTTTTTTGAAAATCCATTTATAAATGTTATTTTTGTATAATTTTTTTTTGCAACCTGACTAAGGATGACCTGCTCTAAAGTCTGCCCTCTGCTGTCTGTAACGCGGCTGTGTGGTAAAAACTGTGGAAACGATCCTGGGGAATTTCAGGTACAAAAAAACAACAACTTTTAGTGACTTTGTTTTGATGGTTGATTAGCTACAGGCTTGGTGTACAGTACAGGTCCGAGCTCATCTAAGAAGTTACTGTTTCTATAACAAATTTCTGATATTCCATCACTTATCTTTAGCTTTGCTCATATTCAGCAGGGATAAGATGTAGTACTTTTCTAAGGCTTAAGTACTGCTACTATGGAAAAAGTTGTCTCGTAGAAGCGCAATTACTTGCTGAAAGATGCTGAAATTTAAAATAGAAATGAAGATTGGTTCATTAAAAAGACGCTTCTGTGTTTTTTGATTAAGTGGTTGGTTAGCAGGGTTGACTTGCTGGTGAGATTTGCCCTCAGAAGTAGCCAAACACTTTCATTTTCTTCATTGCCAGCTGCAGTTGAACACATTTAATTCTGCCGTTGACATGTGTACATTGTCTGACCTTGAGTTGTTGGCACCTGTTTCAGTGAGTATGTATGTACCATTCTTTGGTCCGAACTTCATTGACCTCCAGTTTTTTGTTAGGAAAATTTAGCAAAGTTAAAAATGTCTGAAAATACATCACTTCACAAAACTCTTCCCGGGTAAATCCATTTATGCTTTTTGGACCTACTTCATCCTGTTGTAGAGAGCAGGATTCTATCCCAGCTGACATATGGTAAGAGGAAGGGTACACTCAGGACAGGGCACCAATTCATTACAGGGATTGCTATTTGGCATCATTTCCCGATCATTGCAGGGGGATTTAATTATTTCCTGCATACTTTTCAGATATAATCACCTGTTGTTTTTTTTTGCGCTACAGGATCAGGAGGACGAGGGTATGTCTCGCGTACGAGTGACCAGCAGGAGGAGTCCTCACAAAGTGGAGCGTGTTTCTGGACTGGTGGCTCACTCCCGTATTGACATGCCAAAAGTAAGTGGCTTCAAATACCAGATGGGAGGGAGGGTTGCTCTTTGGGCAACTTTTGTTTTGTTTTAAACAATTTTTATGTTCTTTATGTCTTAGAATTTTGACGTTTGAAACTTTTATTGTCATTGAACCACCATTCCATGACAACGAAATTGCAGTACAACCCTTCCAAGATCAAGCAAAAACGACAACATAAACATGGACATACATGAATCGGAGGGATGCAGACGCAGCCACTTAAGAAGAGTAGAAGAAAATTAGTATTGAGTGATGGATATCAAATAATTAGCTCTGTTTAAAAAAAAGAGGTGGAAAAGGTGAACTCTGTCCAAATGTAAACATTTGTAACATCCAGAATCAGAATCTTTGCTTGGTCTGTGCATTAGGAAATGTTCAAATAACGCTAAGTGGACCACAAATGGTTAAAGTGTTGAATCCATCCTCCCACTCCTAAAGATATAAATACGACGTTTAAGTAATTGGATTAGCTGGAAAACACATTGTGATAAAACTAAAAACAGGTCTGTTTGTCACAGGACTCTGGGGCTACAGAATTGGAAATTTGTTAGACTGCGATGCACACTGCAAATTAACTGTTAATAAGGTAGTATGGAATAGTTAAACTTTTTCGTTACAGCAGTAACACACTAATGCAGAAATCTAGCTTAAAAAGCAACATATTTTACTTTGATTTGTAATCCTCTCATTACACTGTTATGACCACACTTAAATGTTACTTACATTCGAACGCAGAACTTAATATCATATTTTCGCCGTGAATTTAGTTAATACACTCAATGAAACTATCTTAGATCCGATTCAATCACACTTCAACCTTAATTTCTTACTTCAAGCTAGCTGTGCATATAGAAGGCAGCTGGTCACCTTTTCATGCAGTAACTTTTAGCCTGCGAGCAGATAAAGAAACTATCCGTTTCTTAACCGATTGGCCAATCTGCTGCTTCCAAAAACAATAAGCTGAGCCCTTGACTCTCGTTACAGATCCGTTTCATGACCACGTTCGTCTGGATTGTTCAAGGCCGTCGTGTTCACATGTGCTGCACATTATAACACATGGCAGAACAGTGGCCGCAGGCGTTGGCTTCTCAGCTGAACTCAGATCTAACGCAGTGAGGGGGCTATTGGGACGTCAGTGTGAGGGTCAGGGGACTTCAAGGGGGTAAAAGAGAGACTGATGCAGGCCATGAGCACATGGGTTCATTATGAATGACAGTGTCAGCATAAGAATCCTGACAGCACAGGTTGTGTGCATGTTTGAGCCTCCCCCCCATCACATGAAGGAGGGAGGTGAAGGAGCTGTAGAGGAGCAGGAAGCGAGATGGAGAGAAAAAAGGGCTAGTTGGTGGGGATCGAGAGAAAGAAGTAGTGGGAGAGGCTGGAGAGGGAGAGCAAGGCGGCTGAGAGGCGAGGGCCGGTGCAGTGCAGAGCTAGAACGGACACCCAGAGCTCAGCCTTCTTTGGGTTGCCATGGAAACCAGATTCCTCCCCCGCCTGCATCCCTACAGACTGCACTGAGTCTCTTTCTCTTTCTATCTATCTCTCTCCTTGCTTCTTTTTTTTTCATCCTGTCTTTTTTCATTCCTCTTGTAATTTGTGTCTTTGTTCCCCCCCCCTTCGCTCTCATTCTGCTCTGCTTTCCCACTTACGCACAGCGAGCACATTTGCGACGATGCACACTCAACATGCACACTGATTTCAGGTGCAGTGTGCTCTTTGGTGAGGTGACTGGGTAACTGCACGGTGTGTTTTGCATTCCCATGGACTCACGGATGCATAAGCACTTTGTTGTTTTCTCAGCATCTTTCTGTTTTTTCTCTCTCTATTTTTACTTCCCCTTCTGTTCAGCACCATGCTTCAGTAATGCCCCCTCTAGTCATTGCATTTCTGCCCACACACAGGGCACCTTAGCTCTGTTTCTCCTCTCTTATGGCATATGTCTTGGACCCGCAGCACCCTCTGCAATATTTTGCCAAATGCTTTCACCTTCCTGTCAGTTTCTCACTGGTCTCGTTATGTTTTCCTTGCAATGCTTTTTCGGGGGCCCTTTTCCTTTCTGCTTTGGTCTTTTATGCATGGACACAATTCGCACAAGCTCTTTTCCTCAGCATTGCAGCTCTGATACAATCTTCTTCTCTGCACTCTTCACATCTCCATCATTACCCTCCAATTCTACTTTCCTCTATGTGTATGTTTCTCTCTCTCTCTTATTATTCCATCAGTTAGAGGTGCAGGCTTTAGATTGTGTGTGTGTTTGTGTGCGTGTGTGTGTGCAGTGTAGCAGCTGTTCTTTGCCACTAGGGCCTATTAATAGGAGTCTTAGCAATATAGTCTTTGTTTTTTGCGTCTGTATTGCTGGTGAGAGCATCGGTGCATAACTGATCTAACAGTCCTATCTGTCTTATTGGCTTTCCGTCTTGAGATCTCTCACCCTTTGCCATTCACATTCCACTCCTACTGTTCATTCACACTTTACATAATCTATCAACAGTGAGGCATTGATGATAAGCCTAGTATGTGAGATATCTGCTCCTTGTAATGGAAAATAGAGAATGTAATGATGTTCTCAGACCTATGAAGATTGCTCTTTCATCCCTTCTTCTATTTAGGTAAGGCTACAGCAGCCAATCTCGGTACACGTTGAGAAGGAGCTGCCACTTTAAGATTGCCTCACTACCGACTGCCCTTTTATGGTGCTGCATCCGGTCAGGTGACAGAGGAACAGCTTCTCAGAGAAATGCCTAGAAATGAGTGAAAAGCTCAATGCACGGTCCGTGCGATGGTAGGGGGTAGTAGTGCTCATTATGACAGCATGTGTGTGTTTGTTACAAGTTATCCAGGTGGGTTTATGTAATAAGGGATGTGCAGGCTGATGCTGAGCTGATTGTGTTGGTAGAGCTGCGCAGTGGGGTGCAGACAAGTACCTATTTTTTATTTCTCTCATTTCTTGCTTCCTTTATCCGTCTGCTCAGAAGCCCCAGCTTTCAATCCAAACATTAATCATAAAACACTTTTTTCCTGAACTGGCTTTTCATGTGGACAGTCTTAGCAAGGATTGCACCACTTACTCATCCATCTTCCCATATTAGTATCTATATTTCATCATGAATGATCATGTTCATGTTCTTTGCCAATATTACTACAAAATATCAGTTCTTCAGGATCTACTGCATCTATCCATCTGTTGGTTTATCTCTTGGATAAGACTAGTTATTGGATTTTGGCAAGAGTCTAGTGTAAGGACAGTTTATCTGCACACCCTGCTGAGATGTTGTTTAAGTGTTTGTTTTCATACACAGTTTTGAAGCTAAACTATAATTGGGCAAATGCCTTCATATTTTTTTTAATCTATTTATTCATTTCTTCTCTTTCAACTGACAAAGTTACATTGAAAGATTTTTTAGGCTTATTTTTTATCCACTTAGAAAGTTCAAGATATTGGATTGTACAAACATAGATTTATACTCTAAAATAAAAATGGTAATTCTATGATGATGAGGCTGTATGTGAAGCTGACACCTGTGCGATTTGGCCTTGGTTTGACCTCATCCCACCTCTCAAATGCTTCATGAAAAAGTGATAAAGTAGTCAAATTATTTGCTGATTAAATCAAAGCGTTCCGTCCGTATAGACTGTCTTGATTACGCTGAAAGATAACTCGTTTTGTAGGATATGTACACTAACAACAAGCTATTTTCTGTCTTCAGTAATAGCTCTGATTTGATTGGCAAGTAATAACTTCCTGTTTTCCTTCCTGTCATCCTGATATAAAAAACCTGCAATTAGTTGCAGCAATTAATTGTCTCTACTCAGATTTTACAGTTTACATTATTCTGCATTTGAATGGAGAGATGTCTTGTTGCTTTAGCAACACCTGATATCTTCATACAAGTGTTTTCTCTTAGCATGTACATTTCTGTTCTCACTCCTTGCTGTATAATCTCTTCCTTCTCATGATGTCATCACTGAGTAAATCAGAAATAATATTTTGGTTGTCTCCTGTCCTTGTGCTGCAAACCCCCTGAACGTACTGATTGTTGAATATGATGTGACCAGTTGATAAAAGCGACAGCGTGAGGCCGAGCGGGGACGGTTGCAACATGTGCTCGGTCATGTGTGCCAGGATCAATATGCTTACATCGGTCTTTCGAGCTACTGCTTCAAAGCCCCGCCTCGCTGCTGTCGCTGGCCTCATAAGGGCTTCATGGCTGCATCCTTAGGCATTCAGTGGTTTCTACCTCCTGTTTAAAATTGCTCTTTGTTGTGCTCTTTGTTCAGAAAATCTCTGCAGGTTGGGGTGAAAGAATATCATTATAATGAAGTGAGTTACTGTTGCATGTTATTGTGTGGCTGAACATGCTGTGTGTGCCCCCTGGTTGGGCTGCAACCCAATGCAGCGTGCCTACTTCCTAAGATCCTGTTCACTTCGGCAGGAAAGATGCACAGATCAGATTAATGAATTAGCATGTGTGTCTAATCTTAAGGCACTCAGTATTTCTTGCGCTAATTGTAACACTGATAGGGTGTTAGCATAAAAAATGAACACTTTAACATGTAGACTGTGTATAAACATACTCTCTGCCCCATGCAGACACACCCAGCTCCATTCCCCGTCACATTTCATTAATAATGCAGATATGCAGGGCTTTAATGGCGTCACTGTAACATTCTCTCAGTTCTCTGAAAAGATAAAGCTTCACCTTCTGTGTCAGGATGTTTTATATCTAGCTGTGATCAACCCACAAATTCATAAGCATGCAAAATGGCTCACAGGCAGTCCTACCGCATGACTGAAAATATAACTGCCACTGATACATGAAAGCCATATAGTCTCTCCTTGTCTCTGTTTTCCCCCTCACACATTCTCACTCTCAATCTCTTCCTCCACCCACTCAAAAGCCCAAGCGTGTAATCTTGTTGGTTTGGTGCACATGTGTTGATGTCATCATTGTGAACACTGTATAATTCCCCTATGCTTCCTAAATGGAGCTTCAGGAGGGCAGCTTTCTCCCTCTGCTCCCACGTTGTCCAGGTCCTGCACACAAGCAGTCAAACGCTTCAGCGGGAAGGTTGCTTTGCATCACTCGGAAAAAGGAAGTGATGGAGAACGACGTAAAGTGACACTGTCTGATTCCACGACTTCTACTGTTAAGAGGAAGGTCTTAGTGATACCCGCGAGGAAAAGGATTTTCATCTGCTTCCACTATGAGATTATTTACAGATGTGTGCTGTGACACAGAGCCCGAGGTTGACAGTTGATAGCACACAAGAAAGCCTTTAAGTCTGAGGCTGAATTAGAGATGACTTGGGAGGTGACCAGTGATCAGTCAGAGGGACAGGGGGGCTCTTTGTGAGTTGTATGTTGGACGCACTGGTCTGATGAAAAACATGGATTAGACTCACAGTTACTGGATTAGAGTCTGGGGTCATCTTTGACAGATTGCGGATTAAGACTCAGTGAGCTGTTCTCTTTAAAAAATATTTGGTGAAGGGGCAAATGCGTTGTTTCTGTTGTAGCACAATTTGTGAAAAAGTGCCATCACACCAAAAGCAACAGCAGTGGGGCTTATGTGGCGCTGTCCCTTTAAGAGCAGCTAGCGAAGCGCTCAGTCCTGTTGGTGCTGCCGCTGCTGCTGATGGCTGCGCTGCGAGTTGATTGGCTGTGGCTGTCAGGGCTGAGGTGCTAGAGGGATGCTGCTACGTATCCCTCTCCTCCCCTCCCTAGCTGCCTCTCCCTCTCTCTCTCACCGCCTCCCTCCTGCTAGCTAACATCCCTCCGAATAATCCACATCTAGGGCAAGCTGACTGAGAGGCGATCCAGAGCTCAGCTCCTCTCTGCAGGCTGAGAAAAGAGACAGAGAGCGAATGACAACGATTTTCAACGCAGGAGGAAAATCGTAAGATTTTGGCCAAACGGGAAGATACATCAACAGAGGAAGATTTTCATCTGCGGATATCATTTATTTATACATATTGTTTATATATCTATACATATATATATTTGTACACACGCATATAGATATTTATATATATATATAACCATTTATCCTTGTACATATATGTATTTGTGCTTGTCTGTTTATATTGATATTTTTATATATATTTGTGTGTGTAAATATATATGATATATAAACAAAAGAATATATATATGTCTATGAATTTATATGCGTATCACTGTGAACCAAGAGAAGCAAGAGGAGATTTCTACCATCAGGGCTGGCCTCTGATTGTGTGGTGGCATACAATATTTTGATTATTTCCTTTGATCTTCTACGTCAAGAGGACAAAGACTACGTGCCCATTTTGTATTTTTTTTTGTTTTCCTGTTGCTGCTTCCAATCCCTCTCAATCTCTTTTTTTCCCCCCTGCACCCAAGAGGAATAACGGAGAGTGACGGGATCTGACGAATAAGGAAAAATCCGTCGAAATTCTTGTGATTAGTGTTATTTCCGTCGGCATTAGCACTCTGTGAGCCGATCGCAGCGTGCCGAGTGAGATCTGAGGAGGCAGCAGAGACAGAGTGCCACGCCGCTCATCTCAGCGTCAGCCCAGCCAGCACAGCCAGCATGCACAAACACCACCACTGCTGCAAGTGCCCAGAATGTTATGAGGTGACCCGTATGGCTGCCCTGCGTAGGATGGACGCCCCAGCATATGGAGGAGACTGGCAGGCCGAGCCCTATGGATACCCACCTGGGTACGGGGGAGGCCAGACCTTACCCCCTCCGGCTTCAGGAGGCGGTGGAAGCATGGGAGGAGGAGGGGGTACTCTGGGGAGAAGTAAAGGCAAGATAATGTCTGGTGGGGGCCCGGGAGGCCCCAACCCAAAGGGTCAGTCCAAGGGTGGCCCCAAAGTAAATGGCAACAACTCCAGTGGACAAGGAGGATGGTGGCCCGAGTGCACCTGTACCAATCGGGAGTGGTATGACCAGGTAACTCCTCTACTTCCTCACCTTGTTGCATAGCTCAGGCTTGTGGGACTTGGGATCAGATGATTTGTTGCTAAAGTAAAACATTGATCGGATATGCAAATGTGTATTTCGAACCAGAAGAGTTAATGTTTAGCATTGCCCCCCAGCCTTCAGTTTCCCAATGGTTGACTGTTCCTCTTTTGGAACAGGACTAATCTGGTTTCATTGCACATGCATGGAGATGATCTTCATGTTTGGAACTGATGCAGATGACTAATGCTTATAGATTTAACACACCTAGCATGTGTCGTCAAAGGCTTACGATGATGCAGCTACCAGAGGCCAAAAAAATGTGGCATCTTTGCTTTATTTTTACCATTGCAGCAGCTCTGACAGTCAGTTTTCTGTCATCGGGTTGTTTTCAATAGCTCAGACTTTACAGGCTGACTCTGGAAATTACATGTAAGACATAGATTTTTGAGACATCAACTCATTGATGAATTATGTCTCATTAGCTAAGAGCAGAGGAAGAGATGATGAAACCAATGACTGATCACAGGTCTGTTCTTGTTTGGCAGGTGTGTTGGAATATCAGTATATCAGTATAATGAAGGTGTTAGTAAAATCGAAACCCTGTTTCTAAGTGATGATTATCTCACATTTTGCCCAAAATTAAGAAAACATGTGCTCCATTTTGATTCTATTAGCCCCATTCATTTACATGTGTTTATAAATTACAGTTGAGAAAAGGTCAGGACAGCTTCAGAGCGCAGGCTTTAATTAAGCTAGGTGCACGTATGTGATGAGAGTGATCTTGGGTGGGGGAAGGGTAGCTTGGGGAGCATGAGATTCAAGGAATGGTTCTTGCTTTGCATGAGTATGTGCAGTCTCGCATTTGCGGCATGTGAAGCCGCTGCATTGATTATATCGCCTCCTCCGTTTTGCTCTGATCATGTTTTTGGGAGGAAAGATGTGAAAGAGGAGGGTGAGAAGAAAATGGAGGCTGAAATTTCCCGAGCAGAGTGAGAGAGGTCCCCCTGAGCTGAGCCATCATAGGAGCCGCAACCTGGCTGATATTAGCAGATTATGGCAGCCGAGGAGCGGTTTTAGCTTTGGAGAAAAGAACCATACCTTCTCTGGTGGTTGATGGTCGATTACAGCTGCATCTAGAATCAGACGGGTTTCATGTTTCACACAAATGAAAGCTTGCAGTAGATGTGATTATGTAAGCAATTATTGCTTACATGGAGACTACACATGGGGTCTCCATCAGTGAGACTCACATTCGTACATTGGCACATTCCTAATGTGAATTTCACCTACACTGTGATTCATTTGATGTAGTCACCATTAATGAATGAACCTCTCTGTAGAATACCGAGTTCGCTTCCTTGCTCTGCAGAAATATTCGTTTGAGAAAACATGCGGACCGTCAGTCATGCCTTCAGTACACGGGTGAGCGCGGTTTTTACAGCGGAATTAAAAGAGCTGGATTTGCACATGGGAAGGGTCAGTGGGGTAAAAATGAAAAGGTTGAAAAGGATAGAAATAAGCCAATAAAGACAGGCAGCAGCTCTCAAGCGGAGAGAGAGGAACGGGGTGTTGTGTAAGAGGAGGCCGTTGGTGGTGCCGACAGAGAGAGAGGCAGGAGAATCACTGACACTATGGACAAGCATCTGTCCCTCAGCCTCATAAAACGGCCATGTGAATAGCCAATCTATGCCCCCCCACCCCACCCCCTCTTCCCATGAACCGGCTGTAGCACGGCATGGATGGAAGCACACATACAGTCGCCCCCACCCTCTCAGCTCTCCTCTGTCACTGTTGCTCATCCTTGTTGGGAAATGGGAATGCTTCCCTTCCCCCACTACCTATACACCGCCTGAGAGCAGGGCAGTAATCACACACACCCAATCACACAGGAACCCTTATAGCTTTCATAACAAGCCGTGTGTTTGGATGCAAGCACGGTGAAACGCAGCACCCCTTTGCACAGTCATTCACAGTGATCCGAGGTGGTGTTTAACAGCGGGATCATTGGCATTTTCAAATGGCTCCTTTTACCCATGAACATTTCACGTATGTAGAAGGAAATCATTCGACACCCAGAGACATAATGATGCCATATTCATTTCTGTTCTCTGTCATCTATTTACAAAATGATTGTACTGCTTTTGTAGAGAGCTTGGTAGGTTAATTATGGTTGATTTCAGATGGGATTAAAAGAACATTCTTTTAAAACAAGGGCTTTTGAATTTAAATCTGAGGAAAATAGAGACTTCAGTCTGCTGGGATCTGTAGTTAGAAAGCTCCCTCTTCCCCCGGCGGGCTCCAATCTGTCTTTGTGTGTTCTCCAATTCTTTGGTCATGAGTAGCTTTAAAAATTAATTGGATTTTACTTTATTTATTAGCATCAAGATTTAGCCCAAAATGCTCTGCCAGAATTATTGTTTGTTGCAGGCCTCTTAGGTGGTAGTGTTTTAAATGAATGCACAGACACAGTGGGCGTTCCCTGTCAAACACTCCCAAAGGTGATTACGGCTGGAAAGCCTTCAGGCCTTGATCAGGAATATGTGTGTGTTTGTGTCTGTGTGTGTGTGTGTGTGTGTGTGTGTGTGTGTGTGTGTGTGTGTGTGT